GAGACTGATTCTTTTCCAACATAGACATAAATGATGCAGAGATCCACCAAGGCAAGTTTTGGTGAAAAAACTAGGGGTACTGGATTTGCCACAGGTATCCCAGGCTGGAGACCTGTCATTCTGCCAGCTCCTTCACAGAAAAGGTCTTTTAGCCTCTTCCACAGCTTAAGCTTTGCTCTAGAGTAAGTGTTAAGGGAGTTTTCAAATACTGTCAGTTTCTGACCTATTGACAAAAGGACTTGTCCATTCTAAGTTCTGAAGCACCCTCTCCATCCATGTTGGTTCTTAAAACCTCTCAAAAATGGCTAAAGCATTTTGTTAACAGGACAGAAGTTACAGTCTCTCTGAAACAAGCAGCACTAGCTTTCCTGAACCTATCTGTCCTTCATCTCCTCTGCTCTGTTTTTGTTAGTTTCCTGAGCTGCTGGTGCGCTGGGATGTAGCAAGCTGATTTTGGCTCAAGAAATACAGAAAGCACTGACCTTTGCAACCTGGGGAAACGGTGTTATGCATTAGCTCTTGCTCTGTCTTCTGTTGAACTCCTTGTATTGTATTGCTTGCCCCATACACCTCTTTTGAGTGTTATTTTTCTCCCATTAGTGTACTTGTACAAGCTGGAGCTGTAGCAATGGTGGGGCAAAAGTTTAGGCTTACTGGTACTCCTTTTCCATTTATGTTATGCTCTGAACAAACCGAAGTTACCTCAGGAGGTCATTTCAGCATGCCATAGCCATTCTCATAGGCTTTAATTTCATGATTTTCCATTGGTGATTGTTTTCAGTGCAATCCTCATTTATACAAGTTTCTCAGCGTGTAGGATTCCTGTTGTGAGAGTAATTTTTTTAAAACAGTATTACTACTGGAGCTTGAAAATTCCTTGCTTTTTTAATGGGCCCACCATGTGGCTGTATATTTGGGAACATTTTTTTTACAGCCTCTGTGTGGCACGGAATGGGCCTAACTCAATTTTTGTTGAATACGGTGTAAATTTACAATGTTATGTAAATGATATCCAATAACAACAACATGTGTGGCATTAGGTAACTTGTTTAGGTGCTTTGAGAACTGTTTAAAAAACATGTCATATGTTTAGCATAGTAAGTTTCAACTGCTCCTTTGGAGCCATAAATAGTTCTTTTAATTGCTTACTTTTTAAAATCCTACTGTCATCAGTAGTGGCCTATTTCAGGAATTCCCAAATACGTGGCTTTCCTTGTCTAGCATAAATTCATGTTCATTTGACCTCCTTAAAACTATTAAAGGTTATACTTACACTAACATTATTTTTTTCTTTTGGGGGTTTGCAGGATCACATTACTTTTTATAATCTTTATTTCAGTTAGTGTATGAAAGCACTAAGAAGTAATTTGCATAACACCCTGAGTTAAGTGTCTGTTTAAATTAACAATGTACTATACTGAAAAGTCTTTCCCCGTAAAACAAACTGTAAGAGCTTTTCTATTAGCTTTGCCATTTCAGCAAGATGGGTTTAAATAAATACAATTTTCAGGCATGATCTTACCTACCTTCATTTGGTTTGAAAGTATTTTAAAAAGCTGAATACATCCTGTCAAATTTTCTTTCTTATGTTACGTACAGGATGGAATTAAATTTAACTCCATTCGGTTTAACACTCATTTCTCATTTCAGTTACCTAAGGACAAAATCAGGTATGTCAGGAAACTGGGGAAGCATTTCTCTGTGCCAGTTTGATCCCACCTACATAATGTGAACACAGTAGTAAAATATGAAGTACACATAGTAGTTCCACACCAAGCTTGTATCTATTCAGATTGATCTGTGGCTTCTCTCTGCATTTTGTTCCAAGCATTTTGTTCTTCATTTCATCCTTAATCTTATTTCTATTATGAAAATGTATTTTAACTCTTTGAATGTAGAGACGAGAGTGAAAATACTGTCAGGTTTTTCTGTATCTGCATTATAATTTATCACTTTACTCCAGTGAACTGTGGTCTGCCACATTTTTCTGTCAGGGTTCAGTAAAACACATACAGAAGCACAGAATTATAGAGGGTTTTTTAGCTTGCTTTATTTCAGTTTAATATAATTAATAATTCTGCTACCAAATCCCTTCTTCCCTCCTTTGCCAGGCATTTCAGATAGTAGTCATCAGTCATCTTTCGTCTACCAATTTTATGTTTGGACAGGTACATGTCTGTGACTTGCAGATGCAGGGACATAGGCCTTCTGATTCATAAGTCTAGCTGAAGATCCCTGTGAACTTCCTATGCTACATTTATTGTACTTTGTGATGTACTACAATGTCCAGCCTTTTTTTGTTGTTGTTGATTCAAAGTACTTTTAACTAAAGCAGCACAAACATTTTCCTGTTTTGCAAGGAGTTATCACTGATGAATAGCAAGTGGGTAAAACTGGACTACAAGCACATAGCTGAACATTAATACCAGTGAATGCAAACTGCATACAAGTGCATGCTTATATCCAGGCTATGCTACTCAGAAACAGGAAACAATTTCCAAAGATTAATGTGTTACTTAGTTTTTTTATTGTGCTCTGTTTCTCATTTAATACGCATAAAATATTAGCCCACAGCTTATGTATCCATACACGTGGAAAACATATATGAAAATGTCACTTGTGAAATGTGGGTGATAGGAGTTAGTAAAATTTTACTGTAAATGTTAAAAAAAGTAATAATTACTAGTAGAATGTATCTATCTCAGGAATAGTGTTTGGGGGGTTTCCCCCATGTTATTGGTTGCTGGCTGTTTCTTTAGCTCACATTTTATATATATATCTTTGAAGAAGAAATAGTATGTAAGGCAAATAAAATAGTCAGTTCTAGGAAGACTATAATGTTTTGCCTGACAATAAACATTTTTAAAGAAAAACAGGTATGAACTAGGACCCTTTGCATGCTGAAGACAATTTCAGTTCCTCTTCATCAAACTGACTTTTCTGCTTTCTTCACTGATTCTGTGCAGACTGTTTGCAAATGCAAACAGTAAAACCAAGCTCACAGCATGTCTTTGTCAGTTGTCACGGCTATATGCTGACCTATGGAAATCACTGCAATCATCTTAGAAGACAAGCCAATTATAAAAAATTAGAATACTGTAGGCAAAATCATACTGCCACTTACTAAGTTTGTCCGTTTCCTAAATATTCCTTTGTTTTCCATTGGATTTAACTTAGGCATCCTTAAACCTGTGAGGCTGAAATCTTTTCATTGCCTTACAAATATAAGTGGAAAAGGGAAGAGGGGAGACTATTGTGAGAAGTTTGCACTCTCACATTCTGCCTTTTACTTCCCGTTTTCCTTCTTTTTCAATAGTCATCTGTAATAACTATTTCTTTACCAGCGAAACACTGTCATTGCAACTGCAGTGCCTACCGTGTGCCTCACTTGCCTCCCACCCAGGAGACCTTGCTCTCTGTTATACCTATTGCACACAAAGTGAACCAGCTACAAAAGGCAGCTTTATTCAGCCCACACCTTTCCAGGCAGGCAGGGCATGCCCACAACAGGGGACACAGCAAAGAGTTGTGTAGCCCCTGCAGCAGCAAGAGGCCCAGTATTTATCCTCCCAGGGAGCAGATGGGTTCTCCCCAGTGCTATGTATCTACCTCTTAGCATAAGAAGGGCTGGGACATGCCACGGGTAACCACTGACTTTTTCCATTTTGTATGAGTTGTTCATACGAGCAAGAAAGCTTAAGTTCTTGAGGGCAAGGCAGCATCTTCTGCCATGGGAATAGTGTAATTGGAGGTATGCTTAGGGACAACAGGCAGACAAGACTACAGCAGCCCAGTCCCTAGCGTTAGTTAGTGACCCAAGTCAAAAGAAGGGTAGCAAGGATTCCTAAACAAGGTAATGTGATGCTCAAGTCACAGAGATCTGGTCTTTACAATGGCTGGAAATCAAACTGTTCAGCCTTTGTGGGTAGATCAATGAAAACAGTATTTTTATTCTTGCAGTGATAGGCACCTCAGTACAGTATAGACAAACTTTAAAGGGAAATTGAAATATTTTAAAAAAATCTTGATTTCAGTAACTATAAGGCATCTCACTTCTCTTTTAGGAACCGTACTTGCTGAGTACATGTTAGTTGAGGATCTCCTCAGGTGGACAGACAAGAATGAAAGGAAAAACTGTAACAAAAAGTCACATTTCAGTGTTTGTTCATCGTGTAATGCAGCTTCAAAGGCATCATATTTACATCCTTGTTTGTCTTAGTGAATAATAAATAATAATCCAATGGCATGGAGATAATGAAGAAATATCAGCTGATGCAATTCTTCCTTAATCTATATAAACAAGAGTGTAAAACTGCAGTATAACAAAATAACAATCAGCATAGATTGCATTCACAGAACATTAGCCAGACCTTTTAAGTATAAGTGATATGCATGGAAGTGAAGTACTAGCCTAAGCCACAAGCAGTCCAACATATACCATCCGTTGCACATGGATTTTCTGGCTCCCCATCCCTGCAATTGGTGTGGATGGATTGCACCACACAAATACCCTAGATTTTCTTTTTCCCCAGGAGATAAGTAAGGCAACTTACAAGTCTTTGCCAGGGTATGCAAACTGTGCATACACCTGCCTCACCACAGGAAGGAGTGACTGAATTCCTTGTTTTGCTTTGCTTGCATGCATGGCTTTTGCTTTCCCTATTAAAGTGTCTTTATCTCAAGTCATGAGTTTTCTCCTATTTACCCTTCCAGTTCTCTCCCCCATCCCACTGGAGGGGAGTGTGCAAGAGGCTGTGTGGTGTTTCATTGCTGGGTGGAGTTAAATCATAACAACTTGATTAACTGGCTTTTGTATAATCGTTTTTTTTCAACTGATGAGAAAGTACTCATTATCACAATACTCCTATTTCTCATAGTGAGAAAATGAGGAGAAAACAGGATGGAATTGATCTTTTTCCCCTAATTTTGACCACTTCAAAGCATGTAATTTTGCAGCATGTTCAGTACTTAGCAGGTTTCTTTCACGTCCCTGTTTTTAGGTTGTGCTGTGGATGGTCATCCAACCCCGAACATCACGTGGCTTTACTCTGGTAAGCCACTCAGTCTGCGGCATCGTCTCCTGGCAGCAGGACTGATTCTTCAGATACTCAACGTTAGTGATGCTCCAGGTGGTGAATTCAGCTGCCTTGCTCAGAATGAGGCTGGGTCGCTTACACAAAAAATATCCCTGGCTATACAAGGTAACTTAACAGTTTCAGTGAAGCCCTATGAAGCTCTTGCCATGGACTTCCCTGCACTGCCTTTCTCACCTTAGATTTTTCCTCTCTGAAGCCAGGACTGTCATATGCAGCAGGAAATGGATGTTTTGATGTTTTACTGCCATTAATATAGATTTGCAGGACTACGAGGTACCTTAGAGTCTCTTATGTTTTATTTTACCAAAATCGTACCTGGCATTTCTGGCCTGATGAGCATAAAACATACCATGTTGATTCAAGATATGCTTATGCTTGCTGAGTCTGGACAACTTTCTTGTCCAGAAATTCAAGATAAAGATGTCATAATTTGAACCTCTAAACTTAAAAAGCCTGTGTGCTCATCTGCTAAAGTCACTATTTCACAGTCTTGTCTTGCTTGAAAACCCTTCACCTGCAAAAATGGTGCAACTGTTATGTCTACTGTAGAAATAAGCTGAAGGTGATAAAGCCACAGAACAGAGAAGTGCAAATGGGTTGGAACAGAAAATGCAGCTTTCATGGCTCCAATTATCAGGAATGAAGGATGGTGAAGAATTTAACTTTTCCTTAAATTTTGTCATAAAATTGTGTTGCAACTTCCTCATTCATCTTCAGGATGGATGATCTGTATGATCTACCTGGTGAGAAACACACTGTTGTAAGATCACAGAATCACAGATACTGCTGGTAGCTGCAATTAACCACATCTTCATTAAATCACATCCCTTTAAAACTATAGACATAATGCCCTGCATCACTGGCCTCTGGCTTTACTTAACTGCTCCACCATATCATTCACTTTCCATGCCTGATGCTTCTAAGCACAAAAAAAATGGTGCATTTTTTACATGAAAGACAGTGGCTTACATCATCTGGAATTCTGTTCCATCTTGTTCATTGCTTGATGCCTTGTAGACGTAGTTAGCTCCCCTTCGTGTGAGTCCAAATATTTAATCCTGGAGAATGCCTCTAACTCTCTTTTTTAAGGGCCTCTTGATGGCAGTTTTTGAGTGTTAACATGCCTCCTCCACACTTTTTGGCAGAATACAAGTGGTCAGTGGACAAGCCGATGGCTTGTTCAGCTTCCTGCGGCCACAAAGGCATACAGCTGCCCCAGCTGAGGTGCTTACTGGATGGGGCTGAAGTCAACATATCCTACTGCAAAGAGAAGCCCAAGCCAGCCCTGCAGCCCATCGCATGCAACAGGAGAGACTGCCCTTCACGGTTTGTCTGTCTCATGTTAAAATGTATTACATGCTTCTGAGATGTGCTAGAAGAGTTCATTGAACTGGGTATGATGCCATTGCACCCTCTCTGGTGCCTGTCTGGAGGAAAGTCATGGCTAAAAGGGAATATATGAGTGCTTAACCCAATCAGTTGCGAATTTGTAGGAACATTTAGGGAAAACTGACATTACACGGTAGAAAGAGAGTTTACTCCTTCAGTAATTAGGTTAGAAAAAAATAGAGAACCTATTGCCTACTCTTTATTAGCAAAGTTCATAGCTTGTGTAGTCTTGGTTGATTCCAGCCTCAGCCTATGTTGCATGTGAATATCATGCCTATTCTGTGCTGCATACATGTGGGTATTGTATGGTCACATCTTTTTTGCATTCCACCTGGCTTCCTATCAGTTTATCCCAACCATATAGCAGACAAGAAGCTAGATTTAGGAGCTTTTCTGGTGCTTTATTTGAGTTCTTATGGTGCCTGAACATCAATATGGTCAGGACTATAGCTGCAGCTGCAAAGAATTTCCTTAGCAGAGTGGAATATATTTTGTAAAATGGGCACATCATGTCAGATCTAGTGGGTATGAAGCAGGATCAGACTGAGTTTTGCCTCATTTTTGAGATTGCTAGCTTGTGATTTCCTTGGGATTTTGACTCTCTGCCACTGTAATGCCCTGTTTTTCAGTTACTGTTTAACACAATGGAGCCAGGACAGCTTGGAAGACTTATAACTACACTTAGGTCTTCCTCTGATGCCTCCTCTCCATGCAAAACACTTTCCTTCTTTGACACCCTTTGGTGCAAATAAAAATACATCCTGAATGGCTATCCACAGATTCAGTGTAGTGTTACACTCCCTACATGTTAAAAGTATCCTACTTCTACAATTCAATGGCTCCTTAGCTGAGATGTGCAAATATGCTTTTACATATTTTTCTGGTTTTTTACTCCCTCCTCTCCCTTATTTCCACTGTGGACATGGTGTGTTTCAGTATACAAGCACTTAAAAGTAGTCAGGATCTCAACAGAAACTCAGTACAACTTCAACAATGATTTGGGACTCACTTAAAAAAAGAGGCTAAGCTAAGGCAAGGAAAGGCTAAGTAACCCAATGAAAAGTAAGTGGCCAGATTTACCATTCTTGCTGTGTCTCGGGTATAAGGCAGGGCTCTGTTTGATTACCTTTAAAAATATATCCTACCCCTCTTTTCAGGCAAGTGTTTTCTGAGCTGCCAGCTGAGTCATAAGATGGAAACCAAAAGAGATTTGAAGAAATATGAAACACGCTCATTAGCAACAGTTTCCCTTGGTTATGGCAGTAAATTCCATGGGAATGGTTTATGTCTTTTTATACCTTCCCTGAATTGTAATGCAGCCCACAATCCTCCCTCAGCTCCTGAGAAACTTGTGAGATGTAAGCTTGGAAATAAAACTTGATTGAAATGCAGAGCAGAGCTTTATGAGGGATGTAGAAATTTCAGATTCCACCTCACCAAACTGCATGAAAATAGCAGCAGCGTTTTTGTTTTCCATACTGGGAATGTTTTTGTTTATATACTTGTTTCTGTGACCATGGGAGTTAATCACCTGCAGAAGACTGAGAAATAGTAATGGATGCCTCTCCATGGGAATGGAAACCACCTATTGCCTATTTTGTAGAGTAATCATAAACATTGCTGGTGAGAGATGTGACAGGAACTATTTTCCTCCTAGTAACACACAAATCATATTGAATATCCTGAAACTTAATGAAGCAAACTGCTGACTTGACCATAAAACTCTTCAGGAAACTGAAGATCCGTTATTATTAATTAACCAGTTGTATCCTTCCTGTTCCTACCTACCACCTTCCTAAACCCAAGTGTATGAATGTTTCACTTCATGATCCTTTAAGAGGCAAAACGCGTTGTCAATCTTTGTAAGAGTTTGGATCTGGAATATTATTTTCCAGGCTTTTACTAGTTAGACTGGATTTTTTTAAACCCCAGCACATAGAAGTTCAGAACCTTAGCCTCAGATGGCAAATGCATGGCTGAGCTCAAGAGAAAAAAGAAAGGTGTCCTTTGTCCTTTAGCTCACTGTGCAGCAGCCCCATCCCTGAGCAATCTTCAGGCTTTTCTGGATTATCCTAGTTGTAGGGGCATAACAAAGCAGGCAGATGCCAGCAGGACCCAGCAGGCTTTTGGCTGTTCTGTCAGATGCAAGCTCAAAGTGGCTTGTGAGCTACTCCAGTGAATTTACAGGCATAGTTTTCCATGCTAAGGGGTGTAAATGGGCTAGTCAGTGCTGGCATTGTGACCCTGTGGCAGAGGCCTCTGCAGCACGCTGGTGTAAAAGCAGCCATGTTCACCTCCTGTGCCTGGGCTAGGAATACTTAGCCTTTACAAACAGCCTTAAAGGCTACAAAATTAATTCTGGGCCCAAAGAGCCTTGAGAGATAGTGTAATTAAAAATGTGCTCTTCCTAGCTTTCATCCTCTGAGCACTTTTCAGTGATTACTATGGGAGGCTGAGGTACTCAGCACTTTGCAGGATTGCACCCTAAATGAACCAGCCATTGTTGCCTTTCTTTGGTCTAATAAATAAAGATCTGTTGACATCAGTGATCCTGCAGATGGTGACATGCATTTGCTCCCTGACCTATTTTCCTTTCTCTCACAGGTGGATGGTAACGTCGTGGTCTCCTTGCACACAGAGCTGCGGTGGAGGCATCCAGATTCGGCGAGTGACGTGTCAGCGCCTGACAGTGAAAGGCAATTCTGTCCCAGTGTCAAATGAGGCTTGTGCCCAGGTGTCAAAGCGCCCTGTGGACACACAGAATTGTAATAGGCAGCCCTGTGTTGAGTGGTTTGCCTCCTCCTGGGGCCAGGTAAGGAACAAGCCAGGAGTCCAAGGACAGCCTCAATAGTGTGGGCTAGAAAAAGACAGAAAATGAGAGGAGTGATTTTCACCCTGGTATCTTTAGCTTACAGTCTGCAGGCTTTTCAGGAGGCAACTAAGCTACTCAGCTCTTTCAGCTCCATGTCTGATGCATGCCATGCTTGGATTTTTGTAGCTTCCCACAATCCCTAGAAATGCTGCTTGTAAACAAGGCTTTTACTGGAAATCCCTGTATCATCCCCAGTGGAAAGGTTTGAAACTCCTCTCTATAGTGACAGGTGACACATCTGAGAAACAGCCTTCTCCAAGTTTTATTTTCCTTTATCACCTAGTGAGTGTTCAGTTTTGGCTGGCAGGAGTCAGGACTGATTACTGTGATAGGTTAGGGACAGGGGGCTGTACAATAAGCCAGTTTTACAAAGTTGCTGATGTTGCCTGAGAATGCTAAAGAAATGGGACCTTTCTTGATTTGCTTTATGACGAAGAGCAGAATGGAGGGCTAACTGCATTTTTAGGCTACTTCATGCTGGTTTGCAGATATTCAAATTCTCTCCTTGCAGCTTCATACAATGATCAGATGTTAAAAAGCTTCACTCCATAAATAGCAAATGTTATTAGAGTTAAGTTATTAAGTATTTAAATAACTTTATTGTGGGAATCCACAGAAGAGTTATGCCTTTGTCTCTGTGAGCTATGAGATTTCCTGAAAAGACGCTTGTCAATATGTTACCAGTTATAGCCTGGGACCAGTTATTACTATGTGCTTTCCTCCCTTACTCTCCACTCCAGCTTGACTGAGCCATATGTGAAAGTTGATGAGTCCACTACAGTCCAAACTAAGGGGTAAAAACTCACAGATTTCAGCCCAGAGATTTCCAGAATGGTGATTCACATGGGGCTATAGTATTCCAGGTTAAATGAGAGACAGGGTTAAATCCACAGAAGCCAATTTTACTTGAGGTTACACCAGATACCAATACTACTTTAACATCACTTCTGGTGAAAGAAAGGTTTTTGAAGGGAAGAAGAAAAGCAGTTTGTCAAAGCAAAAGTAGTCATACATCTAATTGAAATGATGAGTCAGTATAGAAGCGAGACTTCTTGCCTTGGAAGAAGAGGCTAAGAAATAATTACCCAGACTAATAACTGTAAGTCTCAACATACAGCAAGCTGTCATGAAATATTTTGCCTCCTTTTCTAAGAAGCATGTGTAAATTTGAAAACAATGGCAAATACTGTATCATTTTATTAGAGGTTAGAGTAATACGATTGCTATTAATAATCACACGCATTCTATATTTATTTGGGCTAATATGTACAGCACATTGCACTGCATCAGGATCTTTTACAATGTTGGTATTAAAGACTGTCTTCAGCTAGCAGAACTTGTTATGTTCACTACTTGAAAACAGCTTCATTTCATTCTTGCCTGTGTATACTGAAAGTTTTTCCCACAAAAGGTGAATGAATTATTGTATTATGAGTAGAGCTTGGAATTATCCTTTTACATGAAAGAAGCAAATTATTTCATTCCCTGTAGAATTCCAGGTAAGGACTGGATTATCCTTGCAAAAAGTCAGTTACGTCACCCTTATTTTGTAGATCATTATGGGCTAAATTGTTCCCCATGACAGCATACTCATCTGAGACAATTAGAGAGGTCTGAATTAATTTGTTAGACCTATCCCCTGCATTGTAATGTAATATTTCTTCTTCCTAGCTTAGAAAAAAAACAAGCCCCAAATGATCCTGTACAGCTCTGTCTCCAAGCCAGAAGACTGCTGTTTTAACTACACTTAGGAATGTATCACTGACTCAATGGGTCGATGACCTTCTTGTAGTATCACAGGGTATCAACTGACCAACTTTCCCAACTCACAGAGAAAATAAATGGACTACCCACCCTATCCCCACTTCTACAATTAATTCCTTTCCTTCATTTAATGTTAGTGTCATTTTGATCTCTGCTATGTAATCCCCCATAATGTTGTACAACTAGTGACTCAGGCTTGCTGGTGATGAAGGATATAGCCTCTGCAGATACAAAAGTACTATACACACTCCAATGAAAAACATATCCATCCACCCTGCTCAATGAGGGGATTGACTGGGAGCATCTGGAAATCTGGCAGTAAGTCTCTGACAGTAACTGCTTCTCTCTCTCAGTTGTCAGAGAGGGAAGAAACATCAGCAGAAAGGAAGTATTATGTGAGGAGTGCATATGAAATAGGGCTCCCACTTATGGAAGGTAGAGGGAGAAGAAGATGTGTCAGCATCCCCCCCCCCCCCCCCAGCAAAAATTCCTCCCTCACACTGAAGTCCCCTTCTTCAACCCTCAGTCTGTTCTTGAAAATAATTTCCACACACTTAGGAAAGAAAAAGGAAAAACAAACAAAAGAAAACAACCAAAAGAGCCAACTTTTTCCTAATGGTTAATATAATTTTAAAAGGACACAAGTACACGCTTCATACCTATAGCTAATTATCATTTAATTGAAGGAGAGGATTAGAAGAGTTAAACAGTAACATGTGCTTGATAAGCTTGAATAGGTTAGGGTGACCTCAGTACTGTAGGAAGCTTGCAGATCTGCTGTGTTTGTCATGCTTGCTGCTTTTGATTATTGTACTGCAATGCTTTTAAATTACTAAATGTAATGGAATATGGCCTTGGTTCAGAGTGTTCTTAGTTATTAACTTTTTGCATGTAAATTGTGATAGTAGAAGCTGCAAAATGCACAATAAAAGGAATGCACTGAGATTTCCTATATGAATCATAGCCTCTTGGCTAATGACATGGAAGTGTTTTATCTGTCCTAACAGATGTATTTAAGATTGAATTACTGAAAAAGAGAGGTAATGAGTCTACAGAGCAGATCTAGAAATGCAATTTTAATGCTGCTGGAGGAGACTGAGGTAGGGCAGAAGATGACTGGCTGCTCAGCTTTCAAAGCCCGCAGAGTTGCAGGAAGTGTTCCAAAGCTCAATGGCAGTACCCAATTTATTTCACAGGCAGTCTCACAAAAAGGGAACATGTCCTGCCTTTTACCTCCCTTGAGTGATTTTTCTGTTTTCTTAGTGTAACGGGCCTTGCATTGGACCACGACTGGCTGTACAGCACAGACAGGTGTTTTGCCAGACCAAAGATGGGACTTCTGTGTCATCTGATCAATGCAGGTCCTTACCAAGGTAGGACAGGAATCCCTTATGTCTGAAACCACTATCCTTTGCAGAGATGTTGGATGAGCTAGTGGCTTAACTGGCAACTTTGGGGTTTTCCTGATGGAACAAAGAAGTCATGCTGCAACCCATAAGTTACATGGTACAAATCTCACCAGGCTTAACCCTAGGCTCCACTATTTGTTCCTACGAGCCCCCCCAAAACACACTAGTTGGCCAGCAAGTGGAAAGTCTTCTACACATGCTAAATCCCAACTGAAAGGCTGTGCTCTGTCTTCTTAAGCTGCCATTCTTCTTCTCACTTATTTAAACAAACACTGTAACTGGGGGAGACACGGGACTCCACAGCTTTTGTTTTCCTGCAGATAAAATCTACAGTCAATATTGTAAAGACATATTTACATATAAATCATGCCTGATCATGACTGAAAATCAATAGAATTGGCTCTTTAGCTCCCAGTCATGTATTTTCATTATCTGTGTGAAAAACAGGTGGGAACTAGGTATGCCTATGCATCATCTGCAAGACGGTGTAGAAGGGAAAAAGAGGGTTTCAGAGAACTGGTTTTCTTCCCACTGGCTGCAAAGCCATGAAAAGGTTACAAAGCCCTTCTGAGTCTTACTGATCACCACTTCATTCATTGCACCTTTTCAGCGGTTTGGCGCTTCATGGAGAGGGCATTTCAGCCAAATCCCTAAACAATTCAGATGTCATTTAACTCCAGTAGTGCTATATTAGTGCATGCCTGCTGAGGGTATGGTCCTTGACTGCAGTTACAAACTGCTTTTCAGTGCACTGGAGTTACCCTCACCCCATGAAGACCTGACCCATGTGGTGCTCTGAGTGAATTAATTTTGGGGTAGGCAAGGTTTGCTGTCCCCAGAACTTGCATGGCACCTGGAGTGATGTGCATTTGCTCCCTGAGCAGCATGGTGACAGTCCACCCCTCTCTCCTCCTGCCCACAGGCCATTGAGCACCCAGAACTGCTGGACCGACCTCTGTGGCGTGCACTGGAGGGTCAGCCTGTGGACTGTCTGCACAGCTACATGCGGAAACTACGGCTTCCAGTCCCGGCGTGTCGACTGTGTGCATATCCGCACCAACAAGCCTGTGATGGAGCATCACTGCTCTTGGAGGCCACGGCCAGCCAACTGGCAGCGCTGCAACATCACACCCTGTGAAAACGGTACTTTGCTGAGAGGAGGGGAGCCACTGCGGCAAGGAGGGGAGGAAAGAAGGCAGAGCCATCTCTCAGAAATGCAGCACTGGACCTGTAGCTGGGCATCCTGTGGTACCTCCAGCCCAAACGTGTGTAAAATGCAGTGTCCAAACCTCAGTGCCCCAGCAGGGAATGGTGCCTATTGTGGTTTGTTGGTGATGGTGCTAGTGCTGGGATTACACCCCTTTCCTAATAGCGTATGCAATGGCTGGGCAGTCTTAACTTTCCATTGATGGTACAGACAGAAAGAAATGCATGAATCACAGACAGGCTGCTGGCTATAGCTACAATACAGTAAGTCTAAATCCAATGGCTAGGTTGATGATGGGAATTCCTGGAGTTGAGGCTGCTTGCTCCCAGGTGACAAGCAACTAACTGGGCCTGCCAAAGGACTAGATAAGTTACAAATTTTTTTTTAAGGCAAAAAAGGATAGTGTGCCTATTTGGAAGCTATGTCCTGCTATGGCAGTGTCAACTCGGGAGACACCAGACAGCAGAAGTCTCAATTGCTATCTTCTCATTTGCCCTGTCTCCCACTTTGCTGGCTGATTTTGATGGGCAGATCCCATCCTCAAGCACATGAGCCAGCTGCTGTGCAGTCATCACAGAAGGAGCAGCAGAACCCGCTTGTGCATGCCTGCAGCCACACCAACTCTGAGGCTACATCTCAGTAGACAAAGCAGACTCCACAGGTCCAAACATGTGAGCTGAGTTTGGGATACCCTAATGGAAGTGGAAGGGCTGAGGGAGCTTACGAGTACTACACATGACCCTTACTGTCACTGCAGCCTCTTCCTGCTATGTATAAATGTCCTGTGATGATCCTCTTCCCAGCCTTAGCGTGGGAAGTAGGACTCCCTCAGGAAACAACACCCACAAGGTCTTGCAGGGATAGTGGACAGTTTTCCAGTCTGGAGCTCCAAAGCAGGAGGCTGTGGGCCTCCAAAATTGTTGAAATAAATACTAGGACCAAAGTCCTAGGGGAGCTCAAAAAGTGTGTGAACGTCCCCATCCCAAGCTGTGCTCTGGAATGCACTTGTAACACACACACTACAACGCCTGCTCAGCTGAGGTAACATTCCCCCACACTATCTCTTCAAGTGTAAAAGGTTGGCCAAAGTGCCTTTGAGACTCTCTCTTTAACTGGGTTTCCAGTTTTATTTACTACTTCTTCTCTGGTCTAACAACTGTTCTAAAGCCTCCGTAAAACGCTGGTGGGTGACAAACTGACACTGTTAGAGCAGCCTCAGCAAGCCCTCTCCCTAGGTCTCTGAAAGCGAAGGCTCCCACCACATTCTCCTTTGAGCCTTTGGCCGCTTGAAGTCCTGCTCAGCAAGTGAAATTCATGCTCATAGTGAGACCTCCCAACACAAAGCTCTCTTGGTGCCCTTCCTGGCCACCCCAGGAATTTTTTTCAGGTAAGAAATCTTTCTTTCATTGTTTCATCACCACTTCTCCCTTTTGTTTCCCCTTCGGCAGTGGAGTGCAGAGACACCACAAGGTACTGTGAGAAAGCGAAGCAGCTCAAACTCTGCCAGCTCACCCAGTTCAAATCACGTTGCTGTGGGACTTGTGGAAAAGCTTGAAGACAAAAGCAGTGGAAATGGAGGAACAAGGGGATCACAGACTTTGCTTCAATGACGCAAGGACTTTTACAGAAAGTATAAATGGAACGGAATTCTCTTTTTCATTTTATTTATTTATTTCCCTAAAAGAAAAAGTGGAAAAAAAAAAAAAGAAAGAAAAGAAAACCTTTTACCAAATCATTGTTCACAAGTTTTCCCTTCTATGAATCTGGGAAATCCTGCAGTGAAACATGATCATGAGGGTAGACCACAAAGAGTCGGTGAGGCCCACGCCACCAGCAATGGGCCTGAGAGAAGTGGGGCTACCCCATAATCCATGTACATGCCTGGAGAAACACTAGCAGACAGATGGGGAAATGGATCAGTATAAAAACTTCACATTGGACCACCACAACATGAATCAGATGACCAAACAGCTAGACAGGTCATGGGCTACTGCAGGGAAAAAAAAAAAAAGAAAAAAAAAAAAGGCAAAACTAAACATTCAGCTATGAGCTATATAGATACTTCATCTATCTTAGATGACTTTGAGAGCATAAGCATATGATTTTGCTTTATAAATCTGTTACAGATGAGATCAGATTCCTTTCTGTCTTTCTAAATCCCTTTCTCCTTCTCATGCCCGGCCTTCAAACTTTTTCAGTGGGAGATCCTGGTATCTTTGAGGATCTGGTGCCTGGGGAAATTGAAAACAGTGTGTAACGTGAGCCTGAAGTACACCAGGTGGTGTGTGCAAGGGAGGATTAGGGATAGGAGAGTTGCCCTCAGCACACAGGTGAGGTAATGGTGATAATTATAGGAGATAAAGTATGATCTCTGTAGTACAAACCTGAAAATGCTGTCCTGTGGAGAGCACAGGCAGGAAAGATAGAAATTGTCCATGGTAACAGAAGCTACTTGGCATACTGCATCCTACTAACACTTGAAAAGAGAGGAGTACTAGTTGCCAGTGTTCAGAAGCTTTCAAACCTCAGGTTTTGGAAAGGTTTCATGCTAACGTGAAATTTCTCTCTCCTGGCAGACAAGCAAGCAGCAGGAAAGAAGTAGAAAAGAGATGTATTCTGATTCCTTGCCATTATTCCTGCTCAGTAGAAACAGAACAGATTCAGCATCAGGCCCAGAGGACTAACACAAATAATTTTTAAGAAACTTGCTTCCCTCCAGTTGCCTTCCACACAAAACAGGTGCTATAAAGCAGCACATTTTTAAGCCCATGTATAACACTCTGCAGATACAATCTAAAAAAGTATAAAACCCACAGCATGATTTTGCATGCTGTTCTGTAAGTCTCTACCCCTGGCCAACTGCAGTAGTTACTCAACCCGCTATTTCATGCTTCTTGGGCCCTCTCTGCTCTGCTCAGAATAGGGCCCTAAAATTAGAGGAAATCTGCAAAGTACAGCATTTAAGCATTGTGAAACTTTAAAGGAGATGTATCTGGACCTGAGGCTTTGGTTCAAGACCATCTCTACATTAAAGGCTTGGCTGTGCCTCTCCTGTCACCCCCAGTGGGGCTCATGCCTTGTGGTACATTAGTGAAATGCTGTTTGAGTACTGCTGTGTTTCAGCTTCCATGACATGTAGATTTTTCAGCAAATCTGGGAGTCTGCTTTTGAGGTCAGTGCGAGGTTCTTCATGACATTAAACTGTCTCAAGTTGGGTTACTTAAAAACACATCTGGCAGTGAACACTTTTATTACAAATGGGTCTTCAAGAAATAGTGTGGCTAAGCATCAGTGTAAGTTGTTATTTAATAAAAGAAGAATGTCTTTTGATGTATGTAAATGTATATCTTTTCTGTATATTTATTAGGATTTCTTTTATAAAAAGTGCAATATTAATAATTGTACATTATTTTGTCCAGATAAAAATATTTGGGTTTGTTTTTTTTAAAATCTCCCTAGAATTTTGTTCCTCTATAATCAATAGTAATAGCATACTTCTCTTAATTTTAATAGCACATGCATTTAATTGGGGATCTGCTTCACTGTGCACAGAGTGCTTTATAGACTATGACATGAGGAAGGGATGGTGCTTTTAGCTTGTGAAATAATAGTTCTGCATGGAATGAAGGACAGTTCCTTAATAACAATAGTAACAATGATGATGATGATATGGCTATTTCTAGTACAGTAGTCAAAAAAAGCAGTAAAGGGAAGTATTTTCATTTGTTTAATAGCAAAACATATTCAGATGCTCACACGTTGAATAACAGATGTGCAATAATGCACAGGATAAACACAAAGCCACTACTTTGTCTCTGCACAGTGTAGATTTATTTACACATCTGTCCTCTTAATTGTGAGTTGGCAGCATCTCAGTAAGGATTGCTGGGTATTTTATGAAAGGATGCTTTCCTCCTTTAAAAAGAAAACAAAAGTACAAACTTGTATTTACATAACTTTTTGTACAAGTAATGCAAGTTACTTATTTAACTACTGCTGTCTGATGTGTTGTTTATTAATTTTAAAAACAAAAGCCAAACAAATTAGCAAAGCTATTGGAGTACTCTGTCCTTACTCTGTATTATGATAACAGCACACAGGTGTTACACAAAGCGCAAACGATCTACCTGCCTTGGGGGAAGAAGACGTCTTAATTTGTTTTTAAAAGTCTCCAGCCATTAAGATTCTGCATCCCGTTATACGTATCTGTTTTAATTCTTTATTTGCCTTGCTTTACTCTTTTTTGCTAATATCTTGCCTCTATTGCTCTTGCAGAAGTATAAAGCCACCACTGCTGGTCCTAGGATCATGAAAATCAGTAAAAGTATACTCCTGTCTTTCTATGCAGCAATACTTAAAGACATCTTGTAATTCTCTTCAGCAACCTATGGCATGAAGCAAACACTACTACTTCAGTCTTTCCTTATAGGATGCTTCTACCTTCAGCAATGGATCTTCCACCTCCTCGAAGTATCAAGTGTGTATGTAGAAGGAAACCTAGAAATAGTCAGAACTACTAGGAGGAGAGAAATAAAAAAATAAAAAAAAAAAAAAAAAAAGAACTAGCATTTTTTCTGAACAATGATAAAATGTCTCACCTAAAAGGGAACAGTGATTTTGCTCTGATTAACTGGCAGTTATTTCTCCAGTATGATGTTCCTTCGTATGCTGTTTAGACACCTACACTGCAGATGTAGACACGTCACACACACATAAACACACACACACGACAGCCAAAGACCAGAGAGCTGAGACACCCAAACAACCATGCTGAAGGCAATGTGAATTCAGTCATTCATTTTGAGTAATACAAGTATAGAAGCTGATGTTGATGTAAAATGAACAGCAGGCCACGTTAAGTTCTCAATACAATAATTATTCTCATTTTATGTATATGGCTCCGGTTACCAGTCAAACCGAAAGCTTTCAAAACCTGGAAAGTAAGCTTCCAGTTTTGTTCTCCCTACTCATTTTCCTCAAGGAAAAAAAAAAAAAAAAAAGCAGTTCTGCAACAAGCAGAAAAATGTAGTGCTGAAAGGTTCCCCACAGGAGATTTATTCCTCCCCCCGTTACAGGGCAAGGCAAGCACAGCTAAACTACTCCAGGCATGTATGTCTGCAAACACAGAAGCACATAATGATTTGAGATGGAAGGGTCTTTAAAGATCATTTAATTCCAACTCCCTGCCACGGGCAGGGACACTTTCCATTAGACCAGGTTTCTCCAAGCCCTGTCCAACCTGGCCTTGAACACTGCCAGGGACGGGGCAGCCACAGCTTCTCTGGGCAACCTGTGCCAGCACCTCACCACCTTCATAGTGAAGAAGTTCTGCCTAATGGCTAATCTGAATCTACCCTCTGGCAGTTTAAAGCCATTCTGCATTGTGCAGCCACTACATGTTCTCGTAAAAAGTCCCTCTCCAGATTTCCTGTAGTGGCCCTTTAGGTACTGGAAGCTGAACAGAGACCAGGCAGAAGACTCCCCTCTGCTGGCAGAGCAAGTGGTCTGGGAAGAGCAGGGAGACACTTCAGCTGCCTTGAGCCAGGGATAGGGCTTATAAAACTCTGATAACAAGGGCTTTTAAGCCAAAACAATGAACAAAGGGTGTGCTGCTTGCCCAGGCTGCAGTTCTCTATCCTTCCTGCTAACACATAGCTTACCTCTTAGAAAGTGGAAAAAAAGGGAAAAGTAAGAGTGTTGTTTAAGCCTTTAAGCCCTCTGCAAAGAAAAGTTTTATATTTGTGCAGATATAAATAAAAGTATGCAGTTTTATGTGGCTAAAAGTGAAGGGGACACTGGTGGGTTGTAGTCTGGTTACATATAAACACTTTAAGTAGCAGCAGGATGTGAAAAATTTCATAGTAAGCATATAGTTATCCACACATAGAATGACATGGGCATGGAAAACCACTCCCTACTACCATCTTTAATACTACAAAGTAGCCTGCTGCTTCTAGGTCTTGGATGCGGTCTGAGCCTACTTCATTTACAAACTCCCCAGGGCTAGTGGAATAGCAC